TTGAGATTTGTGCGGTTTGGCCTGTAGAGCCTATAGATTGTAACTCTCATGGGGATATACATTTACAGACCTACAATTAAAAAATAGTACAACCCTCCCAAGTACTCAGTTGATTAATATATCCAGTACTTGAGTAGATAAAATTACCAAGAACATTGCATTATTGTGCCACCCCAAAGAGGCCATCCCATCTTCAAGAAACAGCTAAAGACATATCTCTTCTATCTACACTTGATGCAGCATCTAATTCTTTATAGAACCAGGGTTACATACATAACAGAAACTTTCCTTTTAGGCTCACTTAGTGCTATCTCACTAGCTTAAGCTGTGGGAACACATCAACACAATGCCATACTACAAAGTTACTGCCAGTTTATCAGCCTGTGACGACATACTGAAACAGAATATACCCTTGAACAGATGAATGTCAACATCCAGATTCTAAAATCTAAGAGACCCATTCAACCACCACACCAATGTCTTCCAAACATGGACCACTAGATAACACGCAAGAAAGAACAACTCTTCTAGTAGAGTGAGCTCAAATGCCAGCAGGTGAATTTAACCCATGTACTTCATAAACAAGAATAATCACATAAAATCCAATGCAGATCCATTATTTCTTAGCAGTAACAGCCTTGTTGCAGCCTCCAGAACAAGCAGACCAGATTTAAGCTACTGGCTTGTAGGGCTATGCAAATAATCTAATGCGATTATCATGCACATCTCGTCAGTAAAGCCGGTTCTGTGATTAGTAGTAAATCTCCATCACGTGCTTTCAGATGGAGCAGCATTTACTACACTGAGCCGTAGTTCACTGACAAGCTACGCAATATTGCATTCATAATCGTCGATGTATCGCCTGCGATTATGAATGAGATATTGCGTAGCTTGTCAGTGATAGTTATTGTCATTGATTTGTGATAGTTATTGTCATATTGTTGGTCATGAACACCCTCATTGATATCTCTTATATAGCACCCAGCCATATTAAAATATATTTATATGACTGGGTGCCCTGATGAAATTTATGCTCTTAAATCCCCCACTGTTTGGGCACATCTTTGGGTTGGTCTTTGATCCTAATAATCAAAGTAATTAAATGCAGACCAGAAATAGCATTATTATGGCTTAATCGATATGAAACAGTCTCATTATCAATTCATAGCTCAACCCATATACACACAGATATATTCAGGACACAGATAAAGCAGGCTAGCAGGTTTTTGACCGATGTTTATGCTTCAGCCAGATGTAAATCATTTGTTAAGAGCACAAGAATACCTTGTCAAGAAAAATCTTAATTTCCTCTTCTATGAGATGGCTATGGCCCCGTTTAGTGTAAACAAGGGCCAGAATGTTTTGAATTTGTTCACTTTCAACCATATTGAGTCAAAACATTTCAGCAATACAAATGATCACATTGCATTTGTAGCATAATAGCTCAATTAGTCAATGTGACTTCTCAAGTCAGCTGTTGTGATAAAACAAGGGTCAAAACTTTGATCCCCACACTTTTTGTTGCTTGTGTTTTGACATGATGTATGCAGTCATGAGGATTTTGTTTCATTGTCACACTCACCTCGAAATCTGATCACATACATGTAACTGCAACTTGTAAACACTGGTGACCACTCTGACCACTTGTCACTAGAGCCCGACCGATATGGGTTTTTTGGGACCGATACTGACATTAGGGAGTAAAAAAAAAAGGCCGATATCGATATATCGGCCGATATTCTTTGTGTATATTATAGTACAGTACCAGTCAAAAGTTTGGACACTTTCCCATTCGTGTGTCCACACATTTGACTGGTACTATATATAGAATACAATATATACATAAACAGAATATATATACATAAACACATTTTTTGCAATGATCACTCAAATGTGGTGATGAAACACTTATAATGACGTGACAGAGATACGTAATGGAGGCAGGGCATTTAACAATTTAACAATAAACTTTATTATCCAAAAGTCTGACATCAGTGCACTGAACCGTAAAGTTGAAGTTTATTCAACTTTAATTCAATTCAATTCCATTCAACTTTATTCAGTTGAAGTTTATTTCACTTCGGAACATTCATTTACGGATTTGCGCTACTGTCTTCACACACAGACGAAACTTACTAGAGAAGTGTGAAGTGTGACATAATATACCTCTGTAAATAAATACAAAATAAATTCACGTCTCGCGCACTTTAATGCCCTTTGAATGTAACCTGTACGTTCCCTTGGAACTGGAATCATGGCGGAATATCATGTGAAGTCCACTTCGCAGGGCACTTACGGTCGAATAAGGCAACGCTTGAATGCTGCTGCCTGAACAAGAGACCTCCTTACTGAAGTGAATGTGTTGACTGGTGTTACTATCTCACGAACACGCCGGCGGAGCTCCACAAAATCCTGGGGATCCCTTCAGCTCGAGGAGCCCTATCGAACGCCACCCTCCGCGCGTCGGTAGCCCTGTTAACTGTACAAAGTTTCAATGGTTTTCCATAGACTTAAGCTTTAAAGCGTTTCATCCAGGTCGCCAGTAGCAAACAATGGAGCGCGCTCTGCTGGACAAACTAAGTAATTACACAATTTCAAGCATTTTATCTGCGTTATATGTTCTATAAAAAAAAATTTCATATCGGCGGTATATTCACCGAGACGATATATCGGCGACAGGTTCATATCGGCCGATAATATCGGCAAAACGATATATCGGTCGGGCTCTACTTGTCACCCATCACCTGAGATGGATCTTAATACCAGATATAAACCAGGCCTATGTTGCTATTCCTCATGTGGTTGACACGCCCATGTGTTTTTATACTTCAGAAGCTCCTGACAGCCTCCAGGCATGTTACTGAACAGTCACATTTTATAGTACTTGACTGTTTAAGTGGTTCTTCATGTATCAGTGCACAAGGTCAATTGCTTGTCATTCTAGACAGATATTCAAAAACTGATTTTGATTGCAATGACACCAGCCAGTCATAACCTAAGGCCAAAGATGAGTCAAACAGAGTCAGACATTGTCACATTGACTTGCAATTGGTGTTAAAAAACAAACATCAGTTCACCAAAATCATTACAAGTTTTAATGTTAAATTTGGCTTTTAAAACAAATACATGCTATACCTAGCTATTAAACCACAGCCTTTTTATGAAATTGAAATTGTTTATACTTTAAAACATTTGTAATCCTTCATAATATGGTGCAGTTTTAATAGCCCTGTTCTAAAAACTGGTAAGCTGTCTACTGAGGCAGCGTTTTAAGACATGTAGACTGATGTAAAATTTTATCATAACAAATGCGTACAACGATTAGTTCCAGGTTGGACAAGCCGTATTCTAAGAGTGCTGATTTTTAATATGTATCCTGTTCTTTAGTTAATGACATAGTATTTTTAGTTATGCATTGTGTTTTTTTTTTATTTGACTGTTGATCAGCGACTGATACTGTGATTGGTCTATGACTCTTAGGGCGGTCGGGCATCACACATATGGCTTGGCCTACAGAGAGCAGATTGTGGATCAGGTCCGCAAGGCTGCAGAACACTGTGATTGCCTTCAGTGCTTCTTCCTCATTCACTCTATGGGAGGAGGTAAGCTTCTGATATCTGGCATGTTACCCGTGTTTGTGGTTGAGAAACTTGGGCTGACCTAAGCGTACATTTGTGTGTTTAGGTACTGGTTCGGGGTTAGGCACGTTTGTGTTGAAGCTTCTAGAAGACGAGTTCCCAGAGGTATGTCGGATAGTGACCTCTGTCTACCCGACAGCAGAAGATGATGTCATCACCTCTCCTTACAACAGCATCCTAGCCATGAAAGAACTCACAGAACACGCAGACTGTGTCTTGCCAGTTGATAACAAGGTATCCCTTTCCTGGCATCATAGCTCTCAAACCGTATTTGCAGTCATGTATACTCTGATAAAGCAAGTGAACACACGTTGCACCATATTTGACGTCAATGATGCTAAACATTGCTCACATTTCTCATTACCAAACTGGATGGAAAGAGGAATAATGACTTTAATATCAGTCTGTTCCTCATACAAAACTGTGGTTTCATGCCTTTGGGAAAGTTGGAATACAAGTCACATGGACTACATTTATTGTACTTTTTTAACCTGTTTATAACTTGACAGACCTTGTCACTTCTGCTTTTCTCAAAATTGTTCCTGTTGTGTTACACATATGAAAGGACGTCATAAAGTTTTGGAACAGCGCGAGGGTCAGTATATATCATGATGATTTCAAATTATTTATTTTTTTTACCTTTATTGTAGTCTCTGGTTGATATTGTTGGTAAGATACAACACATGTCCAACACTGACAAACCAGGCTGTACCATCAAGAAGGACTGTACCATCATCTCGGGACAAGGAGGGGTGGTGAAGGTCGAGAAACCTTTTGATGCCATGAACAACATTGTGGCCAATCTACTTCTTAATATTACCAGGTACTAAATGCTTTGTGACAATGGACATTATCTGCTGAGCTATTTGGTTCTGGTTTATAGTCTCAGATTGGTGGATAATTTCTATATGTGTATATGGCTAGTAAGGTCATCACATAAAAATTGGCACTTAAATATTTTTTTAATTGACTGGAAAACATTCTAAAAATAAAAAGCTTAGAAGACATGTAACTAGCCATCTGTTGTCTTTGACTCTTTTTTTAAAAAAAAAGTAAGACATTTTCTCACTAATTTAATTGTATTGAAATATATATATATATATATACAAATAAGAAATACCTGAACTACAAATCAGTAATTTCTTACCTGATCCACAATCTTTTGGAAGTCACTCCCTGTCCTCTATATCAGTACTGGGCTTAAAATGATTTAAATTTAAATTTTACTTTTTACTTTTAATTTTCATTCTTTTCAAAATCATGTAAATTCTTAAAATCTGAAAATGAACAAGGGCTCTCAGCTCTGGCCTCCTGCAGAGTTTAGCTTCGAACTCGCCTGCCAGTAACTTTCTAGTGATCCTGAAGACCTTGATTAGCTTGTCCAGACGTATTTGACTAGGGATGGAGCTAAACTTTGCTGGAAAGTGGACCTTCGAGGGACAGAGTTAAGAACCCCTGACATAGAGCATACATGTAAAAATATATTGTTTCATGCAACACATTTCTGGTCTCCCACATTTGCATGCATACGAAAGTAAGTCAATGAAACGAAAAGTGTAGTGTTATCGACTCTTCAGAGCTAAACTCTGCAGGACAGTGATCTTCCAAACTAAAATTAAATAGCTCTGCCACAGAGGGTGCCTGCTCATTACAGGTCCTTGGATAATATTCCCAATTGTCCCCATGCCAACAACCCTGCATGGAAGGGAGAGACTTTATATGGAAAAACCTCTTCATGTGTGTTTGGTCATCACCAACTGGATGCTGTGCTGTGTTCTGTAGGCTGGATCAGATGTTCTCAGATGCATTTAGTAAGGAGCATCAGCTAATCAGAGCCGACCCCAAACACAACCTGTATCTGGCCTGTGCTCTTATGCTGCGTGGAAACGTTCAGTTGTCAGATCTGCGCCGGAATATTGAGCGGTTTGTTTCTCCCTTATTTTGATTTACTCTTGTTTTGTTTCTTTTTTTTTTTTCATTATAATTTTTTCATTCTCACTTCATGCCCACTTAATGAATTCTTTCTTTAAATAAATTAATTGCACATACGATGTAAAAATTTTTGCAATGCAGACAGCTTCTTTGGTTAAGTTATTTTATTTTTATTTATTTTTTTGCGCAAGTGTGTAGCTCTTGAGCCGAACTAAAGTTATTAGTCATTGGCAGCTTCAGTGATGGGGAATGCTGGCTTTCTGTATATTTTCAGTTTCAATATCCATTTTGTTTTTATTCTACTAACATAAACTAGTCTTGGTTTTGCAATGTGTAAAAACAATGGACTTAAAACATTGTTTGGTGTTTCAAGATAAAAACATATGCACTGAAAGGTTACTTACTGTATAATGACTAAAAAACAAGTGCATAATGTGCAAAAATATTTTAATTTTTAAATAAGTTTTATTTTCAGAGACTGATAGCTTTGAAATTACACAAACATACTTCTACCGGCAATAGAAAAGCTAAAAAAAGTTGATAGAAAAGTTTAGAAATGGAATAAGGTAATAGAAAACAAATCTTCTCAAGTATTTAAAGGATTATGACTTTTCATCAGCCGTAAAAAACTTTTTCAGGCGTTTTTTTTTTTAAGAAACATGCCCTTGAAGTACGTGTTAAAGGCTAGTTCACCCAAAAACAAAACTCTTGTTATCAGTTGCCCTCACAGATTATTTAATTTTTGAGTGAACTATCCCTTTTAATGCCAGGTGTAAATGATAACGCCTCGACTGACCACTTGTGATCAGATCAATGAAGACTTAAAGGGTTAGTTCACCCAAAAATGAAAATTCTGTCATTAATTACTCACCCTCATGTTGTTTCAAACCCGTAAGACCTTCGTTCATCTTCGGAACACAAATTAAGATATTTTTGATGGAATCTGAGAGCTGTCTGACCCTGCATAGACAGCAATACAACTGAAATGTTTCCAAGTCCAGAAACGTAGCAAGGATATCTGTAAAATAATCCATGTGACATCAGGGGTTCAACCGTAATTTTACGAAGCTACGAGAATACTTTTTGTGTGCAAAAGAAAAAAAAACGACTTTATTCAACAATTCGTCTCCTCCGCCCTGGTGCCATTTTGGAGAGTATCAGCTGGACATAAACAGCGTATGCTGTTCTGTGTCAGCTGCGTCACACGGATACGCTGTTTTTTTCTTTTGCTTACAAAAAGTATTCTCGTAGCTTTGTAAAATTACGGTTGAACCTGATGTCACATGTATTATTTTATAGATCTCCTTGCTACGTTTCTGGACTTGGGAACATTTCAGTTGCGTTGCTGTCTATGCAGGGTCAGACAGCTCTCAGATTCCATCAAAAATATCTTAATTTGTGTTCCGAAGATGAACGAAGGTCTCACGGGTTTGAAATGACATGAGGGTGAGTAATTAATGACAGAATATTTGGGTGAACTAACCCTTTAATACCAGGTGTAAATGGTCATAGAGTACTCTTAATCACAGTACTTCTTATTAGCACAAATTAGGGTAAAATAGGCATTATTAAAACTATATAGATAATTTTTTACTGCAAATTTTTGTACTTTTTTGTCTTGCATTGCTTTAGACTCCATCCACCTTTTTACCCATGAACGTCTACTATTTGATACAGACTTTGCATTAGGAGCACTCCTATGATACTGTAAAATGCTAAGTAGACAACTTGTAAGATTTTGTAACAACTTATCTCTGTATGTAATATAAATATATGATCTGTAAATGATCCATGATGATGTACTTGAGTCTCTCTTCATTTTAGAATACAGAATAATCGGTTTTTTATTGCCCTAGGCTGAAGCCCACCCTTCCATTTGTCCCATGGAATCAGGAAGGATGGAAGACCAGTCTGTGTTCAGTCCCTCCTGTGTGTCACTCACATTCTCTTTTGGCTTTAGCCAACAACACTTGCGTGAAATCTACCTTCTTTGAACTAAGGGAGCGTTTTGTGAAGCTCTACCGTAGGAAGGTGTGTATAGCATAGCATATCAACAGCAAAATCATGATTCATTTTGATGCACAGACATGTACTGGTTCTCTCCACAGTAACACATGCACAATTGGTGGCTGACTAAATACTTTTTTCCCCCCACTGTAAACTGTGTATATATGCACAAACTCAAACTTTTGAAATGTCGTGCTCCTCACAGGCTCACTTGCATCACTATCTAGCAGTTGACGGCATGGAGTTGGCTGGATTCAGTGAGGCCTTGTCATCTATCTCAGCTCTAATTGACGAATACACACACCTGGAAAGACCTCTCATGCCCAACGTTCCCAGACTCACCATCGCCACCTGACTCGTGTGTATAATAGACAACGTGATCAAAATTTCTACTTGTACATAAACTAAATATTTCATATTTTTGGGCTAATGTTTTATTGATGTAAAATATCTCTATTTTAGAGGCATAGAAACATTGGCTCAAATATTGTTGTGAATTTAGTGTGGATTTGTTAGTACTACCTACAGCATAACAGACAATATTGAGTCAAACAGAGTTGAGCTCTATCCCTAAGCAAACCTGCCTGCCAGCAATTTTCAAGTAAGCCCAAAGACTATTTTTTATTCATTTATTTTTGTTTTTCAAGTTGTGTTTGATTAGGGCCAGAACTTAACTCTGCAAGACAGTGGTCCTGAATTGCCCATCCGTGTACAGTACTAGAGTCACATAAATTACACACTTCACCTGTAAAATGTTGTTACTTTTTCTTTCATATAAAAAAGTTAATAAAATAGTCATAATATCAAACAGTGCCTGGATAATGTAGTTTTAATAGAAGAAGAATCACAGAGTCATTTGTCTTTACACATCAGTAAAACACAAGAAATGCCACTTTATCTTAAACTAGATTAACATACACACTCAATTCTATAGTCTTGGCATTGGCACAGTCAGCACAAAGCCTAAACTTGTATCCTCATTTAATATGGCTCTGCATTGACCTGTTGACAGATGGTTTGTTTGCAGGTTAGCGCTAGTTGTATTTTTGCTTCAATTTATGCCTTTATAATCAGTTGGTGCAGGGCATCCATAGATCCCAAAAGTATTATTGACCAGGTCTTGCCTAAGACTCAATGATCAACACCTCTCAAAAGCAATATTTTTGGGTTGCCTGCAAATTGTCATCGTAATCATAATCAGCATGCACACTATTTTTGTTGCAACTGACTTGATGGAAGTTCAGTACTCGAGTAAAAAAAATTAACTTTGTATTTTAAATAATTCATTTTTAAAGAGACCCTCTTTAGATGAATCTGTTTGTTGCATTAATTTGTATTCTATTTTTGCACTCTTTCTATAGTAAAATAGCATACTAGTAGGGTTAAGTTGTCTTGTGTATGGGCTGAATTTGAAAGCAAAAAGATTCAATCAATATCACTGTCACTTCAGAATGCACATCCCTAGTAGTAGTAATAATAATATTTTTTATATATATATAGTGTTACATTGTAATGCTTACAAAAAAATCAGAAACAGAAACAACCCAATAAATTAATGAAACATCTTACGTTTTGGGATTTATTACAAGTTGCTAGTCATTCATTTTCGTTGATTTGTTGTTCAGGAGAGTTCAGCTTTATGCAAATGCACAGCAATGTGCCAGCTACTAGTGGGAGTTCAGACTTCAAGTTTATATGACTCCTGATATAGTTTGTCCTTAGATATTATTTATACTATTATATTATTATTATTAACTTTCCTGTACTGCACCACATTGCTGTTCTCTTTTGTTGATTAATTCTACAGTTGAGGAAAATATATTCATCATTCATGAATATTCCTGTTTCTGTAGTGACCTTTAGTTGGTTGAGCTTTGCTCAAATAATGGCTAGCATACACATCCTTTTTTTTTTTTTTTTTTAAATAACAACAAAAAAAACAAGGTTGAAATTTATTTATTTGTTTGTTTGACTTTTTCAGAAGTATATGCCATTGCTTAACCTCAGAGTTGATTGTAGCTGATGGTCTTAAATGTCTGTGTTTTCCCACAAGTTCAAAATCTCTACAGGTTCATCACATCCAGGTGAGTACCTGTGACCTGAGAATTTGCTATACATGTATTGAAGAATGTGAGACATGTATTAACATGACTTTGCTTCATTTAAAGGTGCACTAAGCGAAATTTGCCAAACGATGTTGATATTTGAAAGCACCAAAACGAACACACCCATACCCCAACAGGACCTTGCCCCTATTTTGAAATCTCCGCCCACACGAATGTACACAACCATGGCAACGAAGATGGCGGAATCTGCTATGCCTACCGGCCGAGGGTATGAAGTTGTGTGAAACAAAGCAAAATCAATGTTACTCACCTATCAAGAAGAAACAAAGCAACCTTGGCATCCGATTCCAGGTCTTCCTGCTCCTTGAGTTCTCTCCACCGCTGGAAAGCTGCTCCGATATTTAATCGGGTCCTACCTCTTGCCTGATCATTACAGTTCTTTTTAATGCTTTGTTCCTCCGATATCCCTTCCTCCCCCCTCTTTATCTATAGTCAGTCTGCTAATATCTTCTTGTACACTCACTGAATGCTCCTTTCTCACTATCATTGCTAGACTTGACTGCTGATTGGCTGCAAGTGTGTTTTGGGACTCGGTTCGACACTGTGGACAAAAGCGTTTTTCAAATATTGCTTAGTGCACCTTTGGTAAGTGTTTACAAAAATATCTCCCTGTTCTCTTTACTTGCTGTATTCCAAACAACAGAGTAAAACACTGGTTTTAATGTGTTTATACAGTTGTGCGTTTAGGCCCGAATCATACTCTACTCAAATATGTGAACGCAGACACATCGATGCATGGATGATTTCTTAGGTGCATTCTTTGCATTGACCCAAGGGATGGTTTATGTGCATCCCAGTTCACATACTAATGTGGTAGTATAAATAGTGAACACTGACAATTCTAAATAAAAAAAAGAAAGAAAGAAAATGGTGTACTTTAAATACTTGCATGATGCAGTTGACCGAGAAAAAAAAATGTGTGTAATGTAATGTTGGACACTTCATGCATTCAACTGTCGCAGCTTTAATTAACTGATTATGAATGACAAAATAACCTTCATACATTAAAATAAAATTCACAGGCTACACCGTTAAGTACATAGTGTATAAGTGCACAGTAAATAATGTGTCTTTCGGGACGCAACTTTTGTCTGTCCTTTTTTAAATCAACTACTCATTGTAAAACAACAGTTTGAACTTTGCCATTAGATTTTATAAAAGCAGAAAGCTACCTGAATAACAACACCTTTGGATTAATGGCATAGACAGTTGAATGAAACTGTCTTATTCAAGTTCTGAGGTTTATTAGCGCAATAGCGCCTGAACAGACATTAAAGGGTTAGTTCACCCCAAAATGAAAATTCTGTCATTAATTACTCACCCTCATGTCGTTCCAAACCCGTAAAGACCGTTCATCTTCGGAACACAAATTAAGATATTTTTGATGAAAGGTGAGAGCTCTCAGGCTCTGCATAGACAGCAACACAACTGTAATGTTCCCAGGTCCAGAAACGTAGTAAGGACATCGGTAAAACAGTCCATGTGACATCAGTGGCTCAACTTCAGTTTTGCGAAGCTACGAGAATACTTTTTGAGTGCAAAGAAAACAAAAATAATTAATTTAACAATTCTTCTCCCCCGAGTTACATCTTCCGCCATTTTGGAGAGTACCCAAGAGCGCAATCGACGTAATCAGTGTTGTTTACGATCGTCGAAGAAAGCGCGCGCATGAACGTAATCTGCGTAATCAGCATTGTTTAGGGGAAAGCGTGAGTATGCATTGTGATACCCTCTAAAATGGCGGAAGACGCAACTCAGGGGAGAAGAATTGTTAAATAAATTGTTATTTTTGTTTTCTATGCGTACAAAAAATATTCTCGTAGCTTCGCAAAACTGAAGTTGAGCCACTGATGTCACATGGACTGTTTTACCGATGTCCTTACTATGTTTCTGGACCTGGGAATATTACAGTTGTGTTGCTGTCTATGCAGGGACTGAGAGCTCTCACATTTCATCAAAAATAACTTAATTTGTGTTCCGAAGATGAACGAAGGTCTTACGGGTTTGGAACAATATAAGGGAGAGTAATTAATGACAGAATTTTCATTTTTGGGTGAACTATCCCTTTAAGTATTTACTACATGTCTGTAAAATTGAAGTGTGTTGACAAGTTACCTTTCTCAATTGGTGGCTGACTAAATACTTTTTTTCCCCACTGTACTTGCATAGAGTATTTCTGGTCATATGCTATAGCTTACATGAAGCATTGTGTACTTCCTCTTTGTCTGTTTTATATTAAGTGCAGTTCTGAAAACATGTCATTAGCATCATTACACTTCCTCTGGCATACACAGGAAGTGATCCACTGCATCTTCCAGCGTACGTTAGATCCCCCTTTGCAGTGGAACTCTATGTTCACCATTTTGGACTTATTGGGAACGCAGCAGCGCTTGTCTGTGCAGATGCCGCAGTATGTCGGGCGGTGCTTCTTAACGCTGGTACAGCCAGACAGCGAGAGCTTCTCTGCTTTAATGGCCTGGAATTTCGGTCTGCAGGTTTTACCTCTTGGCATCTAAGCATGAATGAGGAAAGAAAAAACAATTAATCCCTTTTATGGTTATGATTTTGGGTTCAAAAATAGAACTTTGGAAAAGTTCCAGCTTCATTAATTTCATTCTGATATACCTGCATATCTTTAGTTTTTTTAACATATGAAATATTTAAGCCTGGGTCAGTAAACCCTGGGTAAATGGGTTCATAGGATATTTTGTTTGACATTACTCATAATTTACCACGTGTTGACAGTTATTCCTGGGTATACAGTCTGACAAGTACAATCCTAAAGGATTTTTAAAAAGCGCACCGTGTGAGTCCAGCTTACGTTGTATGGTAAGGACACACAATAAATACTGACACAGAAAAGATTATATTTATTTACCATATATTTTTGGAATCTTGTGAGTGAGGAATTTCGTCTGAGGTAAAATTGGATCGCAATGGCTATTAATTGTCTGTCGGTGAACATGTCAAACCAGCGATCAAAGACTACAGATTTTAGCCCAGGATTATAGGAATCTTTTAGGATTTTCAAAATTTGTCTCAGACGACCAAATCGTGGACAAAATCGCACAGTGAGCCAGGGTTTAGTAATTCTGTTCTTTGAACTACATTTTAAAAATAAATGTATATTACGATTTAATTAATGTATATTAAGATGCTAAGAGTCAAAACTAACGTAGTAGACTTTGCTAGCTGCTAATTAGCTGCAATATTAGCAACAATTGTCATTTCCGCAACATGTCAAATTTAGGTGTTGTGGTAAAGACCTTGTGTTGCGTTAGAGACCAGTTCAAGGTTTACTGTATATTAAATTACAAATATTCAGTCTATTGTAAATTATATTTTAACATAACATTTTGTAACCCTAGATGAGACCAAATTCATCTACAATAAGATCAAAGAAATGCAGAGCGGAAATGAGAAAAGACCCCGAGACGAATGCAGAGTATCAGCAGAAGGAAAAAGAACATAAAAAGAGAAAGGAAAAGAGTCTCCCAGCTGACAAAAAGAGAGAAAAACCTTTTGATTCATGGCACTTTAACATTGTGTCCTTACCGACACAAGATCTCATTACAGTACATAAGCAGCTATGCTTTATTTTATTTTTTCCTATATTTTTATTTGCAAAAAATATATATTTTTACACTTACGTTGAGATGATTTACTCATTGAAATTGCAACATCTGTTATAAAAAGCTAAATATGTTTTGGAGAGTCAAAAGTACCCGTAGTTGCAGAAACATCCATATATCCTTTTCAATTTTTCTTACAATGATTTCGGTAATATGGCTGAATGGTTTACCTTGTTTGTGTGTTTATTAAGTGCTTATTAACATCAGGATATGACGGTTTTCTTTTCAGTTGAGTCTTTTGTGTTAGCGTCAGGCCCACACATGCCTGTTCTTGACTAATTGTTTCAATGACGTCTCACTACAAGATCCTAAGGTAAGTAATTTTCCTGTAAGCTCTTTAGGAATGCTGTAATAAAGTACTGTGACTTATGTTATGTCAGTATTGACCTCTCTCTCGCTCTCTTTTCAGGGAAGTCAGACTTTCTTTTCCCCTCACTCACTACCACAGCGTCAGATTTCACTTTCTGGCAAATCCACCGTCAGATAAAGCTGATGAGATTGTATTGCTCTGAGCTTGTATTTTTGATATTCAACTACAAACACAATTAGAAACAGCCAGTTTAAGTATGCAGATTCAACTTTATAATAAAATGATAGATACCATTGCACCAAAAGTATTTGGATAATAAAGTGACTTTTAGAACGTCCTTCTAGATAATATATCACAGTAAGTAGCACCACAAATGCTAGAGTTCTCAGAACTCAAATGGAGTAAATCTGCACAATTAATCATTGTGTCCTTACCGACACAAGATCTCATTACAGTACATAAGCAGCTATGCTTTATTTTATTTTTTCCTATATTTTTATTTGCAAAAAATATATATTTTTACACTTACGTTGAGATGATTTACTCATTGAAATTGCAACATCTGTTATAAAAAGCTAAATATGTTTTGGAGAGTCAAAAGTACCCGTAGTTGCAGAAACATCCATATATCCTTTTCAATTTTTCTTACAATGATTTCGGTAATATGGCTGAATGGTTTACCTTGTTTGTGTGTTTATTAAGTGCTTATTAACATCAGGATATGACGGTTTTCTTTTCAGTTGAGTCTTTTGTGTTAGCGTCAGGCCCACACATGCCTGTTCTTGACTAATTGTTTCAATGACGTCTCACTACAAGATCCTAAGGTAAGTAATTTTCCTGTAAGCTCCTTAGGAATGCTGTAATAAAGTACTGTGACTTATCTTATGTCAGTATTGACCTCTCTCTCGCTCTCTTTTCAGGGAAGTCAGACTTTCTTTTCCCCTCACTCACTGTACCACAGCGTCAGATTTCACTTTCTGGCAAATCCACCGTCAGATAAAGCTGATGAGATTGTATTGCTCTGAGCTTGTATTTTTGATATTCAACTACAAACACAATTAGAAACAGCCAGTTTAAGTATGCAGATTCAACTTTATAATAAAATGATAGATACCATTGCACCAAAAGTATTTGGATAATAAAGTGACTTTTAGAACGTCCTTCTAGATAATATATCACAGTAAGTAGCACCACAAATGCTAGAGTTCTCAGAACTCAAATGGAGTAAATCTGCACAATTAATCTTATTAATCAAAACATTTGATTTATTAATTGAAACGTCAGCAATTTTTTGGTCAAACTAATCTTCATCTCCACTGGTTAGAACTGACATTTTTCTAAGCATAATTTCAGCTGGTGTCAAAGCTATTTTTAGTAGATGTTCACACAAGTAAAAACGGTAATGACGAGTGTCGGTAAGTGTTGATCATCACGTTAACTAACATTTGACCATTAGAAAATGTCCAAATACTTTATTTACAACACTAATTCATTGTCTACATTTACAACACAATATATACTATATATTATCTAAATAAAAAAATAAAAATTCTGTAATCATTTACTCACCCTCATATTGTTACAAACTCGTACATTTTTCCATCTGACACGTAACTTGAATGTGTGGACCGTAAATATTACTTGAGCAAACTTGTTTCCAGAAACCTTGTCATCAGTGTATATTATTCGTTCAAGATTTTCTAATTTGTGTTAGACAATCAGTTGATGAACAGTCAGAACTTTATTGACTCTCAAATCAAATCATCGATCAACTTGCATATACAGAGCTCGGATCAAATATTGCGATTTGTCAATAGCATCAAGCCTCACTGGTTCTTGTGTCATGACATTAGGTCAAATGCCACAAGAACCAACACTTAAGAAAAAAAAAACTACAGAAAACTCAAAAACTTGAGGCAACCAGCTTGAGGACTTTTTTTTAGATTGTGCAACATATGGAAAAATTGTTAACTTAATTACATTTGTCTGTGCTTTTATCAAAAACAAGTTTTATGAGCTAATGTTTTTTGTAGATCCACATTCAATCAACATTTTAAGTTAATATGAGCATTAATATTACATATAATAGTGGTGTAGAATTTTTCTATGAAAATAACACTAATTGCCCTAATGGTAACAACTTTTACAGGAGCACTGGAGATAGCAATGTGCTGAAATGTCTGCTTGCTTGCTCGTGTTCGTCTGCTTTTAATTCACATGCACTTTGCACTTTTTGCACGATGCAATTCATAAAATAAAAAATATGTTTTTGTAGACTTTTCCAGTCTTGAGTGGATCAGTGTGCGGTTAGCCACCCTCTTGTTCATTAACAACTTTTACAACAAAATGTAATCAAAAACACTATATAGATATTAAACAAATTATTTCTGATTAACAAATATTTGTCATTATAAGTCCCCATGTTTTCCCCAAAAACATAAATTATGAAAGTGTGTTATCAGTGACCAAACAGCCTGTTGGTTGAACCCTCACCACCAAACTTGGCATTATAATTTCTTGCTGTTTAATATTTTAAATCGCTCAAACTAAATGGCCAAAAATTACTTTGTTTAATATTTAGACTGGAGACCAAAATTAGAGACGTCTACAAATACTTAATACTTTTTTTTCTGAAAAATTGTTAATCTTCATCACTCTAAATTTAAAGGAATACCACTGTTCTGCTAACATGTTTGACAAAATAACCAAGGCATTAAAAGAAAAAGAAAAAATCTAAATTAGAGAACAGTAACCACTTTAGCAGGAAAGAATATAACAACTGAGGTTTTGGAGGGTTACAGTTGTCAGAAGTTAGTTGGAAGTTTGAATGACTTCAGCACATCTGTGGCCGCAGGACTTGACTAGTTTCTCATAATGCGCTGGTGTGATCTTGGTTCACTCTTCTTCCACTCTCTTCCATAGTTCGGTAACTGTAGTGGGTTTCTTAGCCATAACTTTGTTTCCAAGGATTTTCCAGAGATTTTCATTCGGGATTAGATCAGGAGTCTGGCCTGGCCATTTCATTTTTTAAATGTTCTTAGCTTCAAGGAGCTGCTTTGCCTGTTTTGCAGTGTGAAGGGGGCATTGTCTTGCTTGAAAATTGCAGGCTGGTTGAGAGATGCTTACAGGGAAGGTACCGCATGTTGCTGAAGGAAGTTCTGATAAACATTTGCATTCACCTTCCATGTAGCTGCATATAGAGGTCCAACTCCTGCTGCACAAAACATCCCCCCAAACCATAACACTTCCTCCTCCACCTTTCACTGACTCCTTTACACACTTGGGCTTCAGTCTTTCCCCAGTTTGACACCGAACATAATGTTTTTCATCTGACCCAAATAAATTAAACTAGCTCTCATCACTGAAGTGAACTTTGGACCAGTTCTCCTGTCTCCACACAATATGCTCCTCAGCAAAGGTGAGCTTAGCCTTTTGATTCTTTCTGCTGATGAGTGGCTTGGTCACTGCTGAGTGTGCTTTCAGTCCGACTTCTCTTAAACATGCCGAGACAGATCCTTACCCTGTTCAGCGCAGAACTGGCAAGCAATTCCTGCTGCAGTGTTGAACCGATTCCCCATTGAGAGTTTCTGCATTATCCTATCTTCTCGTGCATTTGTCTTAAGTGGACAACCAGCCTTTCTAGGGGACTTGAATGAATTAGTGTCACTGTAAACCTGCAATATTCAAGAAATCACAGATTTTGAATGACTAACTTCTCTTGCAATGGCTGAAAGGGTCATCCCTGTGGCCTTCATCTGGACAACCTCCTGTTGCAGGGTTTCAGTCACTTTAGAGCAGCCCCGCCATCTTGCAATTTCAGTGAAAATTGGAGGAATGCTGCCAGTTAAATAGGGTTTGTTATACTGTATAATTAAGGAAATTAGCACCAGGTGCCAGATTATCATTCTCTCATTTTGATCAGAGTTCTTTTTCAAATATCTCATTTAGGTTTCTTATGCTGTGCCTCAGAATACAATATGCTTAAAAATTGCCCTTCTACTCCTGTTAGGATAACTTTAAATAGGTCTAAGCAGTGACCTTGAAATTTAGGACATTATATTGTTCTCTAATTTTTATATTATTAACGTGTCACAGTGATTTGGACAATGATTGTTGAACAAAATGATTAGATTTGCTTGAATTTTTTATCTGTTCTTCATGCAAACAGTATGCTCATTTTGTCCTCTGAAGATTTGGATTAAATCAATGGATGTGTACGGATTACATATAGGCTACACTTTTGTCCTTTTTGGTGATTGAATACAAGTTTGGAATGGCATGAAGGGTGTGTAGATGAAGACAGAATTTCTAGTTTAACCTTGCCCAGCATGTGAAGTTCCAGCAGGACGGATCTCTTACCTTAAGTCCCTTTAGAGCGTTTTTATCACATGGTCGAAGCAGACAGAGTCGGCGCTCTTTTCTCATCTCACACTTGCTGTTGTCGTTGTTGACTCGTACAGAGATGCCGATGCCGCAGGTGCGTGAACAGGGTGACCAGGGTGTGGTCTGAACCAAACAGTTCTTCTTCCAGGCTAAGGGAGGATCCCTGTAAGCTTTCAGTGTTACAGTCACAAAGCACTACGTCATCCCACAGCACACATTCAAACATCTGCCCTCACCCCAGGCTTCAAATTCTGACAGGAAAAATTAGTCTGGGAATACTGTATAGTTATTGATCTGTCACAGCTAGTTATGACGTCAATTCATAGAACAGTTCAGAAGGCATATTCACCATGTGTTCTCTCTGGAGTTTCTAAGAAGATTTGGCTGTTTTCTAGTTATGAATAATGTTAGTACATGGTTAATGTCAATCTACATGTTGCTCTTCAAAGATAGCTAGCAAATTGGAAGTAGTTTATTTAGATGTTTGACAACAGTGCCAACATTATAACATTTTCTATGTAAACCACAAGTTTATGTGCTTGATGAATGACATTTATGTAAAGTAAATGAACAAAAAATGAGTCCTCTTATGGCAACTTACATTTGAGGCAAAAGTGCATGTAATTTATTTAATGAAAATCTCTTCAGACTTTTAACCAGGGTGCGAATTACGGGGAGGTTTGGCGGGTCTGACCCCCCTAAAGAAGGCTTGATCCCACCCGATGGACGTCAAAACTAGATGTAGTGGGGGTCAGATAGAAAGAAGGCTAGCCTACACATATTATGGAGATTTACTTGTAAATATTAATATGCATTTCTATAGCCCTAACTGATTTTAAAATATAATTTTGGCAGCTCCTGAAATGGGTCGTATTGACAGTACCTGAGCGGTTGAAGAATACACTACAGCGCTCATTCAAAGACGTGCATTTATTGCTTGGACGGAGCAAGAACACTTAAAATACACTTGTAGATTCAGTCGAGTGATAAAGTTTACCCTCTTCAACTTAATGCTGTTGAACTGAATTTATGGAGCAAACTATTTGCTAAAATATCCATAACATTAACAGCAGCGCTGTCAGTCAGATGCGCGTGAAAGCTGCATGTGTTACTATAACAAACACTGCATGTTTTCTTTCAGAATCATCATTGGCTGGTAGAAAGACAAAAATAGGTTACATAAAAGATAAGGTAAAGGTGTGAATAATTACATTTTAGACACATTGTCAGTAATTTCACCAATGAAAATAAAGCCCTAGGAGAACTGTTGTGCGTCTCAGATGAACACACAGCAGTGTTTCATTAATGAATCCACGTTTTTAAATTAATCGAGTGAATCAATGATTCAGTAAACCATTCATAAAGGCAGTCACTTGTGTCGTTTCTGAATGAATCAGCCATTTGAATGAATTGATTGAATGAATGATTGAATGACTCACTTAAGACAGGGATTTGCCGCCACCTACTGGCGCATTAAGTTTTATATTCAGAGGATCGTTTCTTTTTCAAATAATTTAATATTTCACTATTTATTTGTATTTTTTATGTTGAATTAAAATGTTCCTTTCTAAAGCTACTTATATTTCAGCTACCTTTTTGTAATGTCTATTCAGTGTTTTTTTTTTTTAATTAACACAATAACTATTATCTTTAATAATAACTTTATCTTTATTCGGCACATGATGTACATGTTAATTAATTAAGCTCATTAATTTGAGATTCATTTGATTAATTAATCGGATTTAAATAGTCACTTGACAGCACCTAGAGTGAACACTCTAGGAATTCTAGAGTGAACCCGTGATTGCAAAATGTAAAATTTTTCACTCACACTAGTTTGGGACCCATTCTCACTAATTTTGCCTAAGTAAATGTAATATTCTGCTTATTAATAGTAAGTAAGGTAGTTGTAAAATATGGTCATGCCGAATAAGGCAGTATTATGTGCTTTATACTGTAAGTACTAATAAACAGTCAATACGCTAGTAATATGAATGCTAATAAGTAACTAGTTATTAGTGAGAACTGGCCCCTAAACTAGTGTATACAAACTAGTGCATTAGAGTTAGGACAGGAACATGAACATCTCTACTGTATCTTATCTCATTCTCATAATCCGAGTAACTCCCACATGCTTATAAAGGAATGATTGTTCCAAATTCAATACAAGCAATGCTCTATTAACAATATTTGTGGCATACTGTCAGTTTAATTGCAATAAAAAAAATGCTTACAGCAATGCACTTACAATGAAAGAAAATTGGACCAGGCAGTACATTTTTAGAAGTATAGGCACAAGCTTTAAACATTACAGCCTACTGCTGTATTTTGCACAGAATCTACTCTCACGCACGGTTTTAAATGAATAATGTGACAGATCTAATGGCATATCACTTTATTCCATGGCTCTTTATACCAACTGCAACTGCACCCCTACACCTAGCCCTAACACTAACGAAATTGAGCTGATCAGTAAAGGTGTCCTCCAAGGTCCAGGATAGGAACCCTGGTTTTGACCATGAGTAGCAATATGAGCTGCACCAGCACCTCAAAAGGGAGTGGCATCATTCCTCAGATTTCTTCTCTTCAGGAAGCGATTCATCTTAGCCCATGGTTATGAGTTGTCTTTTTGCATTAGGATTAGATTTCATGTTCAGCAACCTCTTTGAATGCATAATACTCCTTGTGGGGAACACAGTGTTCTTTCAGGAGTGTGTTCCATGCTGTCTTCATTTTAAGACTGAGGACTTGCACGGTAATTGTGTCAAGTGTTTGGCCATTCATCATATCATGCTGCACTTAATGGCTCTGCTAGTTGTATGCACTGATAAGAGTAGAAGTATTTAAAAATACTTAGTTCTCTACCCACCTTCTTTTCAAGGAAAGGAGAGGACTGACTACACCCCATCACTCACGCTAAAGCCCTGTGGGTCCTTTTATCTCTCTCTCTCTCTCTCTTTTTCTCTCTCTCTCTCTCTCTCTCTCTCTCTCTCTCTCACACACACACACACACACTGGAGCATGTTAACCCTATTTCACCGGTTGAATTTGCTGATAATGATGTTGTTGTTATGTCCCGGCCCAGAAGCATGGGATGTGGTCTCTGAATGACATTCTTATGACCACTGCTGACGGGACTCTGAGGAGTTCAGCAGCGGTTTAGCTGCTCTCTAGTGGTCAGGAGGCACTGCATTTATCAGCTTATATTGAGCTGCTTGAAGTTGTGTGCTGTGGAGATGCTTCACATACAAGTCATGCAGAACAACTTTGGAGCTGATTGGTAAATCTTATATGGCTACCAGTCAGGCTAGTGTGGCGCTGCATACCATGGCGGTTCTGCAGGCCTACCAAGCAGATATCCTTAAGTGCATGGCCGATCCTGACCTGCGGAAGGAGGGAAAGCCTGGTTTTTAGAAATCCTCTCCCTTTTGCAAAAAAGAGCCATAGAGAAAGTGCCTCCTTCAAGAACGAAGTCCAGATTTTACATTCAAAACTAGTGCTGAAGAAGAATGGAGGTCTGCATCCCATTTTAGACTTGGATCAACTGAACTACACTTTACAGAAGCATTGTAGAAGTATGTTGACACTGAAGCACATCTCGACGAAGATTCGGCTGGTGGACTGGTTTGTCATGATAGATCTGAAGGATGCTTATTTCCACATTCAGATCATTCAGAGACACAGGATGTTTCTCAGGTTCACTTTTGGGGGCAAAGGATATAAATTGAGTACTTCCTTGGCTTAGGATTGCACTTTGCATGTTTACGAAGTGCATGGATACAACTCTGGTGCCTCAGGGAGGGAGGTAACATCACCAGCAGATACTAAATTGGTCTGTTTCTTTGTGGGCTTCAGACGGTCATCACACCAGGGGGTGTTCTCATAGTGTCAGCTGCCGATGCATTGTTCCCTATTCAGGGAACCAAGGTTACATATGTAACCAAGATGTTTCTTTTGTAATTCTGTCTAGCTCAACCAGACAATGGTGGGCGGAATTAGAGTAAATAGCCTTAGCCATCAAGGCGGGCTATTTGCACTTGTGTAACAAGTGTACACTGAATATTTTTTCTATGATAACAGACATTATGCCACAAATACTATTTAACCTGGAACATTCCTTTTTAAGGCAACGTGAAATCAAAATCGTACCTACAGTAGATACTTTCTTAAAGGGGTCATATGATGCGATTTCAAGTTTTCCTTTCTCTTTGGAGTGTTACAAGCTGTTTGTGCATAAATAAGATCCCTAAAGTTGCAAAGACTAAAGTCTCAAACCCAAAGAGATATTCTTTATAAAAGTTAAGACTGGTCCATGCCCTCCTAAAAACACGCCCCCACATGTCTACGTCACGATGTAGGAGGATTTGCATAACACCGCGCAAATGTTCACGCAAAGAAAGAAGGCGTAACTTTTATTCTCGCTGTAGTATTGTTGCTGCCGCCATGTTGTGAAGACGCTGTGTTTCGTTGTGAAAGCGAAACTACTTTGTTTGGTCTTCCAAAGGAGGACACAACTAGAAATCAGTGGTTAAGTTGTATTTACAACACTGTTCCAGAACAGTTCAACCCAAATATTCAGATGTGTGCAGCACATTTTATGGAGGACTGTTTCCTGATCCTGGGAGAGGAGCCTACAATGTCGGTGTTCTGACAAATAATGCTGACTCACAGCCTGTAAGTACGTTTTCATATTTAAAGAATTTGCCACTGATGATTCAAACGTGAGTTTTGAGCAGTATAGAGTAGCGCTTGTTGTTAGTCGTTTCTCCGAACACAAATGCAGACATGGTTTAATTTTTACGTGGCACGATACACAACACAACGCGTAAAAAGACAGTATAAGTCATTATAGTCCGTAATTATGTCCCCACTGGATGCAACAAATACCTCGTTTATAATGGGTTTTAATGTTTTTGTCTCGTCGCTCCGGCCGGGACACGGCATCACAGTATGGTAGGGGCATAACATTTCCGTCACACGCTTGAGGTATTCGGCCAATCATAACGCACTGGATAGCTGGCCAATCACAGCACACCTTGCTTTTTAGAATGATGAGCTTTGTAAAAATCGATGCGTTTCAGAAAAAATAATGTACAGTATGTGGAAAATAATGTTTTTTTAACCTTAAACCACATAAACACATTTCATTACACCAAATACACAAAATACT